CCACCAGCAAACTGCCCCGCACCCGCCCAGCCAGCATGACACGACCGCCGACAGAACCAATCATCACGCCCAAAAAGATTCTGAGCCATCGAGTTCGTGACCCACGGGGAGCCCGAAGGGTCGAATTTCCGATCCGCTGAAAAGACCGCACGCCCACTGAAGACAATTGGGTTCCCCTGGATAGAATTGAAAACCACCCCATCCTCACCGAGTATCTGCGCAGCCGAAATTTCCGGGATGTACACGCGTTTTCGTAAGAAGGGCCTCCTTAAGAAGGGGGGGGGGGGGGGGGGTGGTGTAAGGAAAAATCCTTTTCCTTACTTCGCGTCCCTGCTCAGCACGTACACCACTGTTTCCCGCCAACAGCACCCAACAATAATCCGTTACCACTCGCGACATTCGCCTTGCCACTATTCCCGCCACTGTTGACGACGCGACCCAACCTTATGGCTCGGTTGGTAACCCGCGCTCCGGACCTCCGCCTCGACATTCCCAACCTCGGCACTAGGCCCGTCGCGCACCCCATTTTCCACGTTACCGTAGCCATTTTAGCTTCGCTATATATTCTACGCTCAATCCTTCGCTCATTGTATTCTTGTCTCGATAGTTGTAAGGAAAATCCCTTTTCCTTACTTCGCGTCCCTGCTCAGCGCGTACACCACTGTTCCCGCCAACAGCACCCCACAGTATCCCGTTACCACTCGCGACATTCGCCTCGACCCCATTCCCGCCACTGTTCACGATGCGACCCAGCCTCACGGTTCGGTTGGTAACCCGCGCTCCGGACCTCCGCCTCGACAGCCCCCCAACCTCGGCACCAGGCCCGTCGCGCACCCCATTTCCCACACGTTACCGTTACCACTGTAGCTTTGCTATATATTCTTCGCTCAATCCTTCGCTCATTGTATTCTTGCCTCGATAGTGCAATCTTCGCTTGCTCACTCAATTGCACTCGTAACACTTGGTTATCAGAGCCTACGATCTTCTCTCGGACCGCACCCACACCTTCGCTTCCCCACTATCTCAATATTTGGGGGGGGGTAGACGTGTCAAAATAACGAACGAGAATGGATGAACTAGTAAACAGTTGGGTACAAGTACTAACCCTAATTGGGTTGTACCCCTTATGGGCGACCCCACTACAGCCTACACAAATGTATAAGCTATAATGTTCTGACACACCCCCATAGGCAAAGAAGGGGAGAACAAGTGGTCACAAGACCAGTCAAGAAAAGCAAAGCAAGCTCAGGGTGGATCACAAAGTCACCACACAGTCCGAGCACAAGCAAAGGGCCACAAGGCCAGTTCACATGCAGAGTTATATATAAAAGAGAACAAACAATATAGTGACCATACCCTAGCAAGTGCAAGGTATATATATAGATCACAGTACAAGCAAATTCACGCAGTAAGTAAGTGAGGCAAAGTAGCTCAGCAGTGTTAGCCCTAGTGGCCACGTACGCAAGACGAAGCTGGCCACGCTGCTGCAACTCTCGAGCAAGGAAGTATCGCAGAGCAATGTGCTTCGTTCTGTGCTCCAGTCTGTGCTCCTGACACAAGGCAATCATGGCCTTGTTGTCTACGTACAGAACTGGAGGCGAACGAGGCTGCTCTCCCAAGTCAGTCAGCAGGTAGGTGAGCCAGCGTAGCTCTTGTGCAGCCATGGCCCCAGCGTAGATCTCAGCCTCACAACTGGGGCTGAGAACCGAAGACGAGCGGGTAGACCGCCAGGAGACAAAGCTAGAGCCAAGGCTGAAGGTGTAACCCTGTGACGACCGCTGCGTAACTGAGTCTTCAACCCAGGAAGCGTCTGCGTGACCGGTGAGGACAACTGGACCCCGTCCTCCAAGCACGAGCCCCATTCTCGACGTACTGCACAAGCAACGCAGTACCCTCTTCACAGCATCCCAGTGCACCTTTCGGTGCCTGCCGGGGGCCACGTAGCGAGCCAGGAGGCTGAGAGGGTACGCGAGGACGGGTCGAGTGCACGTCATCAGGTACATGAGGCAACCCACAAGCTCTGGGTACGGACCACTCGGCTCTACGGACTCGTCCGAAGGTGGAGCTGAGAGCGAGTGGCTGGTAGACAGAGGAGTGGGCTGTGGCGAGGAGAACTGGAAGCCGAAGCGCTGAAGGACCTGGTGCACCATGTGTGACTAAGTCAGGGTAATGGTGCGCCGAGCTCTGTCCCGGGTGATCTGCAAGCCAAGATAGCTGCGCAGTTCACCCAGGTTAGTGCAGGTGTGTCTCTTCTGCAGCTCCGACTTCACAAGAGTCAGTGCCTCAGTGTCAGCAGTGGCAAAGACAAGGTCGTCGACGTAGACAAGGACGTAGAACGGCGGCAGCGAGGTGTCGATGCGTAGAAACAGCGACGGGTCAGCAGTAGCAAGAGCAAACCCAAGAGCCGCAAGTGTAGTCCTCAGTGTGTCGTGCCACTCGCGAGGCGCCTGGCGGAGACCGTAGACTGGCCGCCGGAGACTCCACTGAGTACCTTCAGGAAAAGACTCAGTGAAACCAAGTAGGCGGCGCAACCAGATCTCCTCGTTCAGGCTGCCTTGCGGGAAAGCTGTGCTGAAGTCCAGAGAGTGCAACTCGTAGTCACGCTGAGCAGCGACGTGCAGCAACACCCGAAGAGTAGTCATCTTTGGGGTGGGGGAGAAGGTCTGGAAGTAGTCAACTTCCTGTCGCTGACTGAAGACTCTAGCAACGTAACGCGCCTTGAAGGCAGGCGGAGAACCCAGTGGCCGCTTCACCCTGAAGATCCACATGCCATCGACTTTGTGCGCCCCAGGTGGGGGAACCTCGTCGACGTAGGTGCCTGTGGACTTCCAAGATGCCATCTCGGCATCCATGGCTGCCTGCCACTTAGAGGAGTAAGGACCCGTAATCGCCTTAGCGTAAGAGCGCGGGGTCGGGATGTCTGGAGCATCCGGGTCTCCCTCAAGGGCAAGCAGCATGGAAGCGAAACGAGGTACAGCAGTTGCAAGAGACTCAAAGTCCTCCTGCCTGTCCTCAAGGACGTCCGTGCCAAGAGCACACTCACCCCCGACGGACGGAGGACTGGCAGACGCAGACTCAGCAACAAGAGCAGTGGCGTAGTCTAGACGATAGGCAGCAGCAAAGTCAAGCAACTCAGCAACAAGAGCAGACGTAGCAGCAGACTCAAAAGAAGGGTCAGTGACAGCAGTGGCTAGGAGACGAGAGACAGTGGGACTTGCAGCACGAGCGCGGTCAAACTCAGGGTCAGGGACCTCAGGAAGAGAGGACTCAGGAGGAGCAAGCAGAGGAACTCATAGAGGAACAGAGGAAGGACGAAGGGTCATAGCGTGCGTGCCAGGGATAGGAGGAGGACACAAACGAGGAACGAGACGAGCAGTGCGAACACGCGAGACAGGACGAGACGCAGGCTTACGACGCTCTATAAGACCGCCGGACTGCTCAGCGTGAGGAGAAGGAGCAGGCAGTGGAGAGGCCGGCTGTAACAATGGCTGCGACTGGTCAGGCGGGGGACACAGGAGGGGAGGAGTAAGGGCAGCAGTAGGCGGGGTACCAAGAACCTGCTGGAGCAGGGGAACGAAGTACGGTCGCGGCCGCACAGCTCCACTAGGGTCAACAGCTCCATCTCCTCCAGCTCCAGCACCTCCAACACCAGGGCCTCCAACTCCAGCACCTCCCGCGCCAGGGCCACCAACTCCAACTCCTCTAGCTCCAGCGCCACCAGCGCCAGTAGTACCAGACTCCGTAAGGTCTCTAGCCCCAGCACCCTCAACACCACCAGTCCCGGCAGCTACAGTACCCCGGGTACGAGCACCTCCAGGACCAGTGGTCGCAGTACCTCCAGTAACACCAGCTCCAGCAGCAACTCCAGTACCTCCAGCTCCAGCAGGCCCAGCACCTCCAGCTCCAGAAGCTCCACTCCGAAGGCGCGTACGCCGAACAAACCACTCACGCAACTGCAGCGGAGACAGGCTCAGCGAAGCACCAGCAGAACCTCTAGACGAAGCAGCACCCTGAGGCTCCGCACCTCCAGACTCCGCACCCTCCGACGCAGCACCCCCAGGCTCAACACCCTCAGGCTCAGCACCCCCAGGCTCACCACCCCCAGTCGCAACACCCCCAGGCTCAGCACCCCCAGTCTCAACACCCCCAGGCTCAGCACCCCCAGTCTCAGCACCCTCAGACTCTGCTCCCCCAGGCTCCGCACCTCCAGACGCAGCACCCACAGACGCAGCACCTCGAGCAGCACCTGAGTCGACAGCTACCTGAACAGGCGCAGGACCAGGGAGAGGGTCTACCTGAGACACACCTGAGGGAGCAGGACCCTGGGGTGGGAGGGGGTCTACCGGAGGGGGACCGGGAGCAAGGAAGAGCGGCGGGGGCGGGGGAGGGGCAGAGCCGTAGGGGAAGAGACGGTAAAAGGGAAGACACGTCGCGAGGTCGGGTGGTAAAACTGCCAGACAGGCGCGTCAGGGACAAAGCCAAGGAAGACGCAAGTGATAGCATGGGGGGAGAGCTTGTCCGCTGACGTATCGCGAACAAAGGCACGAGATCCCCAGACCCGGAACAACGACGCATCGCCAACCTCCCCCGTCCAACGCAGTGTGGGCGAGTTCTCCGGCAAGGAGACACGGGGCCAGAGGTTGAGCTGATGCGCAGCGTACCGGACCGCAAACGGCCACAGAAAATGGGGAGCAGCCGCATGGATCATGGAGGTACGAGCGACCTCCATGACTAGGCCAATGCGGCGCTCAGCAATCCCATTTTGCTGAGGGGAGTCCGGAAGCGTGAACGACTGGAGAATGCCCTCCCCACGACAAAAGTCCCGCAAGAGGTTGGAGGAGAACTCACCACCTCTGTCAGAGTGCAGACGCAGGACAGGAAGGTCCTGGCCGAACCGCTCGCGGAGCTGGAGACGGACTGTGCGGATCCAAGGGATCAAGACATCAACAACCTCACCCTTGCTGCGCAAGGGGAAGACCGTGGTGTACCGCGTGTAGTCGTCAACTACCAGCAGAAATTTGTGCTCGCGGCTCTGTCCACTGACGCGGGCTCGGCCCCACACGTCCATGTGGAGAGTCTGCAGGGGAGCAGTCGTCGGGGGAAACGAGGAGGAGTGAGGAGCGGCGCGCTGCCGCCCCTCGACGCAAGGGAGGCAGGGCGGGGCAGACGAGGGCGGCAAGGGAGGCAGAGACCTGGGGAGACCAGAGATAAGAAGATGAGAGAGCATGCCACGAAGGCAAGGCAGGGAGGGGTGACCCAGGTGGTGGTGCCACAGAAGAGTCTGGTGCGACAGGAGGCGACACGAGCAAGAGGCGGCTACCTGACCTGACGCAGACACCTGAGCAGACGCAGCTACCTGAGAAGGCTCGGTAGCGAGTGTGTACAGACTCGACCCTGGCCAACGAGTGAACGTGGCCAGGTGACGCCCCGTCCGTGTGCACGTGCAGATCGACACACGCTGACCCCCAGGAGTGGTGGTAGTGACCATCGCATCCTGGAGGGCAGCGGTACTCACCAAGTTCGTAGAGAACGAGGGGAGGTGAAGACCTGACAGTGAACCGGACGGAACTCCCGGACACCGGAGGACAGTGGAGGAACGGGCCACTACCGGTCGCCCGGAAGGGTCAGCCAGTCTGACCGGGACAGGTGCAGGGAGAGGAGTGAGGGTGGTGCTGTCACGAAAGAAACAGCGCGAGGCGCCTGAGTCCAACGTGAAGGTGTGCAAGGCCTGAGCAGGCGCAGTACCAGGGAGAGTACCAGACTCACTAGCACCTAGAGCAGCAACGGCTATACCTGGGTCAGGCGGCACACAGTCACAGTCACCCTCAGCACTAACAGACAAAGCATACATAGCAGAAAGAATAGCATCAAAGTCTAGGTCAAAGATAGCAATCCTAGACTTAAGCAGATCTGCCCAGCGAGGGAGCTCGACGTCGTCACCAAACTCAGCACGCCAAGCGTCGTCGAGGCGAGAGAAGCAGCGGTGCTGAGTGTGGAGCCGCCCGCAAGTCTGACCAGCACGGTCACCCGTACGAATGACATACGGGCAACTACCCCCAGACGCCCCACGCAGAAACCACTCACGAAGCTGCTGGGGAGACGGGGTCTCGCTCCGACGCTGCTGCTGGTGACGCTAGCCACCCCCAGAACTGACACGCTGAGCGCCAGTCCCACCGCCACCAGTCCCACCGCCTCCACTGCCGCCACTCCCACCACTTCCTCCACCACCGCCACCAGAGCCCCCACTGCCGCCAACAGTCCCACCGCCGCCACCACCTCCATTGCTGCCCCCACCACCACTCCCGCTGCCACCTCAACCACCACCGCTGCCACCACCACCACCCCGGCCACCCTTGGCCTTGCTGCTGCGACGCTTCACACTAGCAGAAGCAGCCCCGACGTCATCAGCAACAGAGACGTCTGCAGCAGTAGCACAGGCGTAGGAGGGGGCAAGGGGGGAGGGGGAACACCCCTCAAAGAAGGGCGGGCGCGGAGTGCCACGAGAAGCACCTACAGCAACTGCACTAGTCTCAGCTGCGAGGAGATGCTGCTCGAGGAGGTCAACAGTGAGGGAGGTGGGGTCAAGAGAGAGGAAGTGGTCCCTGACAGAGCGAAGAGAGTCAGGGAGGCGGGTGACTATAAAGTAGAGAGTGATGTACATCGGGGGCGGGTTCCTGTCAAGGAACTCAGCAGGAACGGCAGCGCGGTAGCGAGCGTCACTAGCGCGAAGGTGGGAAACCAGGTCCTTGACTGTGGCAAAGGCGGACAGCTCGGGGAACAGGTAGGGCAGAAGTAGGCGGCCTAGAGCAGCAGTGGCAGGGGAGGAGTAGCGAGCGACTACAGCGTCGTACAGCGCCTGCGCCGTCCTGTGCTGTCCAAAGTGAGCGCATTCAGCTAATGGCAGGTGGTTGCGAATGGCTAAGCGGGCAGCAGCATCGCGAGTAAGCCACTGTGAGCGAGTCGAACTGTCAGCTGTGGCGGGAGGGGCAGTAGCAGCGCCTGACGCTAGGTCAAACAGCGAGACACTGTCCTTAGAATCGCTCAGTAGGTACAGCTGCAGGTCATCGAGCCACGTGTCAAACTGAACCGGTCTACCCTCATGATTAAACACAAGAACCCGAAGCAAAGCCATAGCTGTGCAGCACGCAGGAGCAGCAGTAGCAGCTGTAGCAGCAGCAGTAGCGACAGTAGGGGCCGAGGGGCTAGGGGTCGACTAGGCCGGGTGCGCGGGCTAGGGGTCAACATGGCCGGGCGCGGGCTAGGGACGGGGCCGGGCGCGGGGCTTGGGGCCGACGGGGCCGGGCGCGGGCTAGGGGTCAAAAGGGCCGGGCGCGGGTCTAGGGGTCGACAGGGGGCCGGGCGCGGGCTAGGGACAGGGCTGGGCGCGAGCTAGGTATGGGGCCGGGCGCGGGGTTAGGGGCCGACGGGGCCGGGCGCGGGCGAGGGGTCGACGGGGGGGCCGGGCGCGGGCTAGGGGTCGACGGGGCCGGGCGCGTAGCCAGGGGTCGACGGGGGGCCGGGCGCAGGCTAGGGGTCGACGGGGGGGGGGGGGGGGGGGAGGGGCGGGCACGGGCGAGGTGTCAACAGGGGCCGGGCGCGGGCTAGGTGTTGACAGGGGCCGGTCGCGTGGCTAGGGGTCGACGGGGAGCCGGGCGCGGGCTAGGGGTCGACGTGGGGCGGGCCGAGCGCGGGCTAGGTGTCGACGAGGCCGGGCGTATGGCTAGGGGTCGACGGGCCGGGCGCTGGGCTAGGGGTCGATGGGCCGGGCGCGGGCTAAGGACGGGGCCTTGCGCGGGCTAGGGGTCGACGGGCCGTGTAGGCTAGGTGTCGACGGGCCGGGCGCCGGTTAAGGACGGGGCCGCGCGTAGGCCAGGGGCGACGGGCCGGGCGCGCGTAGGCTAGGGTCGACGGGCCGGGCGCGGGCTAAGGACGGAGCCGGGCGCTGGGCTAGGGGTCGACGGGCCGCGGGCTAGGGGTCGACGGGCCGCGGGCTAGGGGTCGACGGGCCGCGTAGGCTAGGGTCGACGGGCCGGGCACGCGTAGGCCAGGGGCGACGGGCCGGCCGCGTAGACTAGGGGCGACGGGCCGGGCGCGCGTAGGCTAGGGGCGACGGGCCGGGCGTGTAGGCTAGGGTCGACGGGCCTAGGGGCCTTGATAAAAAAGGGGGCGCGACGGGCCTAAGGGGCGCGACGGGCCTAGGAGGGTACTAGCAGCGTAGCAGGTGGTGGGCCCAAGGAACCTGCTCTGATTCCATGTCAAAATAACGAACGAGAATGGATGAACTAGCAAACAGTTGGGTACAAGTACTAACCCTAATTGAGTTGTACCCCTTATGGGCTACCCCACTACAGCCTACACAAATGTATAAGCTATAATGTTCTGACAAGACGTCCCTCAGCGACCAAGCACCGCCGCTCGTAGTGCTCTCTCGTAAGCACGCACGGCCACGACAGAGGCTCTCGCTGAGCTCGCCCGACACCCCCGCCATCGCAGAACTTAACACGACTGCGCAAAGACATCGTTTAGGACTAGATACGGGTCATTCGAGTACACAGTGATGCCTTTTGGGCTGACCAACGCACCGGCGATTTTTCAAATGACCATGAACGAGGCGTTTAGGCCACTTTTAGATTAATGCGTGATCATCTACCTCGACGACATCCTCGTCTACAGTCGGGATAAGCAGCAGCACCTAGCCGATTTAGAAGCAGTATTTACAGTTTTAGACAAACACAGACTACTGACAAAGGGTTCCAAGTGCGAATTCTTCCAGGACAGGCTAGAGTTTTTGGGGCACGTTATTTCAGAGGCTGGAGTTGAAATTGACCCGAAGAAACTGGACACAGTAAAAGTGTGGCACCCCCCGACGAACATCACCGAGCTGCAGAGTTTCTTGGGGTTCGTAAATTACGTCCGACGGTTCGTCCCCGACATGGCGCGCTTAACTGCCCAGCTGACATATTTACTGCGGAAGGGGGTCACTTTTACGTGGGGGGAGAAAGAGCATGCTGCCTTCTCTACCCTGAAAAATGTTCTCTGTTCACCACCCGTACAGCGCATCGCCGACCCACACCGCCCATTCGAAGTGGTTACCGACGCAAGCGACATCGCCATTGGCGCCGTACTACTACAGGACTTCGGCAACGGTTTACAGCCCATCGCATACGAATCACGAAAGTTGCATCAGCCCGCGAAGAATTACCCGATACACGATCGCGAAATGCTTGCGATCGTGCATGTGTTCAAAGTGTGGCGCTGCTACTTGACCGGCACCGACGTGACAGAACGGACATACCACAAATCTCTACAGTACCTCCGCGCGCAACCCCACCTCAACCCACGACAAATCCGCTGGCTCGACTACCTCGAGTCGAATTTTCACTACACGGTTACCTACAAAAAAAGGGCATCGAACATCGCCAACGCATTAACCCGACCCACAGCCCAAATTCACGCCATAGTACTCGCCCAGACCAGCCCACTGCTGACAGGCCTATTTACCCACGGTTATCAGACTGACCCATTTTTTACAGGCGGAAATTCGCAGCAGTTTGCAGCAGCAAAGGGAGTCTATTACGTAAAAGGTGGCACCGATCGCATCTGAGTACCGGGCTACACACTTCTACGGGAATTACTATTACAAGAGGCACACGACGGAGTTACCTCAGGGCATTTCGGAGTAGAGAAAACACGGCAGCAGCTGCAGCGGTACTACTACTGGCCCGAAATGTTGACCGACGTGCAACGACACGTGGCATCGTGTCCCACCTGCCAAGTCATGAAATCATCACGGAAGCGGCCGGCAGGACAATTGCAGCCGATACCACCCCCAGAGCGTGCTTGGCAGCAGGTGACGATGGACTTCGTCACGGGGTTACCAGCGGGTGCAAGTGGGAACGACGCGATCCTGGTCGTCGTCGATCGATTGACGAAAATGGTACATTTCGCAGCCTGCAAGAAATCAACCACAGCCGAAGAAACGGCCCGCCTCTTCATCGCAACCATTGTTCGATTACACGGGATACCAGCAGCAATCATCAGCGATCGAGATACGAAATTTACCAGCAATTTCTAGAGGAACATGTGGCAGCAGTTCGGCACGAGACTATAGTTCAGTTCTTCGTACCACCTCGAGACCGACGGACGGACAGAACGGACAAACCAAACCATGGAACAGTTAATCCGAGCCACGTGCGACGACCCCACCACCTGGGAACAGCAACTGCCACTAATCGAATTCGCGTACAACAACTCGCCATCCGCCACGACCCAACAGTCACCATTTTAACTGAACTACGGACAAGACCCTACAGTACCCATGACCCCGAATCCCGACAACCCGGTGCCACGAGCGCAACAATTCGCATAAGTCCTATGGGAAGCACGGACCAGGGCAGCAGACGCAATTAAAAAAGCCAACGTCATCGCTAAGCGCAACGCCGACCGCCACCGCAGACGCGCCACTTACCAATCCGACGACTTAGTTCTACTCGACACCCAAAACCTCCGCCTGCCCATAACTCCGAAGCTCCGCCCCCGATATTGTGGGCCATCCCGTACCAGCCATATGATCACACCGGTCACCGCCCACCTCCTCCTCCCCGCCGACTGGTACGTGAGCCCGTCTTTCCACGTCAGCCTACTTCGCCCCTATATCCCATCCACCAGCCAACTGGCCCGAAATCGCCCTGCCAGCATGACACGACCACAGACCGAGCCAGTCATCACGCCCGAAAAGATTCTGAGTCACCGAGTCCGCGACCCACGAGGAGCACGAAGGGTCGAATTATTGATACGCTGGAAAGATCGCACACCCACCGAAGACAATTGGGTCCCCCTGGGCAACATCGAAAACCACCCGGTCCTCAACGAGTACCTACGCAGCCGAAATTTTTGAGATATACACGCGCTCTCGTAAGGGAGGCCTTCCTTTGGGGGGGGGGGGGGGGGGGGGGGGTTAGTGTAAGGAAAATCCCTTTTCCTTACTTCGCGTCCCTGCTCAGCGCGTACACCACTGTTCCCGCCAACAGCACCCCACAGTATCCCGTTACCACTCGCGACATTCGCCTCGACCCCATTCCCGCCACTGTTCACGATGCGACCCAACCTCACGGTTCGGTTGGTAACCCGCGCTCCGGACCTCCGCCTCGACAGCCCCCCTACATCGGCACCAGGCCCGTCGCGCACCCCATTTCCCACACGTTACTGTTACCACTGTAGCTTTGCTATTTATTCTTCGCTCAATCCTTCGCTCATTGTATTCTTGCCTCGATAGTCCAATCCTCGCTCGCTCACTCAATTGCACTCGTAACAGTACTGCTCTCATGTGATCACACTCTGTTGTTCGTGCTTGGATGTTCAGCCTGTTACAGGAATTGAGATTGAGTAAGTACGATTGTGCGAAGCGTGGTAACCTGGTACTCACGAATCGTGGGTACTGCTGCAAAGAACCTTCTCTGAAAGAGGCCCGGTGTGATTTGGCATAGCCCGTGTCGCATCTGAGAGCCAGATTGAGCGCAGCGCTCAAATCACATCAATTCTTCATATTGTCTCCCCCGCGAAACTGTCCTTCGCTAAGCGAATCGCCACTGCTTGGTTTGGGCACTCTTCATGAGTCCAAACGTGACACAAAAAGTATCCGTTTACTGGAGGTCATGGTTGCCCAGCCGTCGCAGCGCTTGTCATCGTGTCGCAGTAAACGAACCGCGTTCGTTTCAAGTAATTCCAGCCCTGGACAGCAGCGTCTAGCCACCAACCCAGGCTAGATTCAAACAAAAAGGTTTCCTGCGAAGGAAAGCAAGGGCTGGGCGCGAAACCAATTCAAATCGCCCAATTCAACATTTCTTTGCAACCCGCATCATTCAACACCTCCACCTCTGAACCGAACTGAAGCCTCCGCTAAGCAAGCTCAACTCCCAACCATGTGCAACCAGGAGTAAGGAGGATTTCTTTTCTCACCACAGCTGGCGCAAATGAACGAGGGGGTACCAAGGCCCGCCCATCACTAAAAACCCCTTCATCCTCGCGGCTCGATTTTTCTCGTAATTGACCCAGGCGTGGCAGGCTTTAGCCAGCCGATTGCGCAGGCAGCTCTTTATTGCGTCAATCCCATCACAATAACGCGAGCATGTGTGGTCTCGCTCACGCGCTCCCATCTCACGAAAACGCAAGCCCTGCGCTACTGTGACGAACGCCTTTTGGTCCACAAACCTTGCCTCTCGCCCTTGGTATTCCCAACTCGCACTTTCGTGCTGCCAGTTGGCCGATCATGCATGAAACGATCACATGAGCGGGTCGGCATTTGAGTCGACATTTGACAAAACTGACAAAGAGCTCAACCGAGCTGCTGCCCGCCTTGCGCTCCCTCTTCACTAACAGCAACGTAACCCATTAGCCCTCCCCTTCCCCACCCCACTGCCGACCAAGCCCAGCCCTTTCTCAGTGCCTTCACCCTGATTTTCCCTACGTCTGTCCCTCCAACGACCCCGTTGCGACCCACCCAGCCGTCACTACCGCCGCCCTCTCTTCCACCTGAGCCATTTTCTCCGTCCCATACCGTAGCTAGAGCACGACCTTGCTCTCTCTTTCTATTCCCAGAGACGAGCATCCAGGCGTTCAAACACGTTTACCGAATACTTCCGTTGACGATTAACTAGGCTCTGTGTGATTGAAGGCAAGGCATGAGTGGATGAGAGCCAGTCCATTATGAATCGCAGAGCTAGATTGGCGCTGGTTCTAGGGTTAGTCTTAGCGTTAGGTTTACCGGACTTGTCTTTATCGCAACAGCCTCCCGAAACTCGGCGCGCAGGCCCCGCGGCCGCCACACTCCCACCGTCGTCCAATGGCGTCACGCCAGATCGGTACATCCTCCAGCTCTCCAATCAACCCGCCAATCTCGGCCCGCTTCCGGCGGTCAAGGCTCAAAACGCCTTTCGCGCAGGGCAAACCGTCGTTCCGGCAGCGCTAAGCACGCAAGTGGGAAACCTTGCTGGCGTGGTCCTGCCTCGCAAACCGCCTGCTGGCTCGTCCTCGCCCAACAACCCAGCCCTCACGAATATTCTCAAGTCTGCTGCGAAGAACATGGTGAATGGGGTAACCCAGGGCAACGTAACCGATATCCTTAGCGGGGTGGTGCAGGCGGGAGACGATGGGTTCGCCTACGCGCAGGGCTTTTCCCAGGGAAGCTATTACGGCTCCTTCGCCACCTTTTACGGCAATGAAGACGGTTCGGGAACCATGGGCGGCGCGTGCGGGTACGGCAACATGTTCCAGACTGGGTACGGATTAATGACGGCCGCCGCGTCGTACGCGCTCTTCGACAACGGCAAGGCGTGCGGCTCGTGCTTCGAAGTTAAGTGCCTTGGCTCGCCGGCAGTTCCGGGCAAAAATGTCTGCTCGGGAAAAACAGTAACGGTTACCATCACGAACAGCTGTCCGCCCGGCGGTAACGGTGTGTGCAACCCGCCAAAGCATCACCTGGATATGTCGGAAGCTGCGTGGGGGGTGCTATCGGGCGTGCGCGGTGCGGGGATTCTGCAAACGCAGATGCGGCGCGTGCCGTGCAAGAAGAACGGCGGCGTCGCGTTTATGCTCACGGGCAACCCGTACTACTTGCAAGTGCTTGTGTTCAACGTTGCCGGCCCGGGGAATATCAACAAGTTGGAGGTCAGCGATGGTACCACGTGGGACGTTATGGATCACAATTGGGGCGCTTCGTACTCCAAGAGCAAAAAGTACGGCGGCAAGGAGCTATCGTTCCGGCTGACGGCCGTCAGCGGCGATGTCCTGACCGTCAACCGTGCCGTTCCGTCCAACTGGTACATTGGCGCGGCGTATATGTCGAGGGTGAACTTCGGCGGCGGCGGTGGCGGCGGCGGAGGAGGAGGGGGAGGAGGAGGTGGTGGTTCCGACAATAATTCCAACGGAAGCCCAAAGAAAAAGAAGCATCCTGGGAAGCCCAAGAAAAAATCTCCGCCACCCAGTGATGGCAACCAGTCACCGTCAAAGTCTCCGCACAAGAAGAAAAAATCTCCGCCTCCCACTGGTAACCAGTCAACGTACCAGTCTCCGCCCAAGAAGAGCAAAACGCAGAGCAAGAAGAAGGGGAAGAAGCATAAGAAGCAGAGCGGCAGCAGCAGCAGCAACAGCAGCAACAACAACAACGGCCGCAAGACGCTCGAGACATGGGGCCCGCTTGAAGAGATCCAGCTGTCGGATTGGGAACGCGACGCGCTTCTGGGAAAGGCAATGGAGGTTAATGTGACGGCCGGGGCATTTGGACAGCACTAACCAATAATCACTGCACTTGGTGGGTGTTTGTTTCATTTTAAGGGCAGTCGGGGGAGTTTTTGGTAAAAAAACAGTACGGGGGAGGTGTGGGGAGGGGAACGTAGTTTTGGGGAATGATGCTTCGTTTGTAGCGGGTTCATCAGTGGCGATAACGACTTCCAGCTGACAGGAGAACGCTCGATAAGGATATATCAGGTGACGAAGAGTAGGGCGTGCTCGGGTTTTTTTATTTGGTCACCAGTTGGTAAAGTGGTTAAGTGGTTTCTTTATGTGATGTCATTACCAGTTGGTAGTTGGATCGTAGACTTGAAGGGTGCGACACTGAAGTGTAGCATGGAGTGTAGAAAGTATTTATGTCAATGAGGGCTCCTGGTCGTTCAGATTAGTGCTTTCTTGAGTGTTCGAGGGGAAGTGGGGATGGGGGGATTGCTATGGAATGATGTGCGGCAGGAGCTTTTAATCCTGCTCTGGGAAGGGTTAGTTGACAACAAGAGTGAGTGTCTCTAGAAGTACTGATTATCTGTTTTCGTACATTTGTGTAGTGACCGCAATGTGGAATATCATGATTTATTCTGAACCTTGCTTGCTTATTTACCTGGGTATGGCCAAGCAACTTGAAGCTGAGCTGCATGGATGACCGGATAGGGATGTGCAGCACATATTGCCTATCTGATCACATAGCTAGTAGAACAAAATGGCATGGATGGTCAGATAGAGATGTGCCGTACATGCGACCTCCCTTCCTGCTTGTAGGGCAAACTACGGTAGGAGAGTATTGCTCAGAGCTTTCATCCCTAACCTAAACCAGAGTGCACGTTCATGGTGGCTGTTTTGGGCGAACATCGGGCAGGTTTAAGATATCGTACTGAAATAGCCCGTCCGAAAGTGACAAACCTAGGCGACAACACCTTCGCGTTGGCAAAGTGCACGTGGAATGTGTGTTAGAATAGTAGCTTGACTTAGGAACCATGGCTAGGTTAGAATGTCGAGATGATTTTGGGTGTGTGAAAGTCGAGAAGGAGAATGATGTGATTCACTATAGAAAGTTGGGATACAAATAGCAAACCCTAAATTGGGTTGTACTCACTACAGAGTACCCCACTGCAGGCTAGACAGCAAATACATTCTGACAATGTGCACCCTCCCTGATTGTTGATTTTTTCACAAAGCATTCAAGAGTCTGGCTTCTGGGTGGTACCGTACTTTTAGAAACCTGTCTTTCTAATTGCAAGTGGCAATAGCATTTCTTTGTGCCGTTTTTGTGATGCTTGCAGATAATAGTAATATTGGTAACGGTTCGAGCCCATAATGGATATCTCGACGGATTTACACCTGTTCACTTTCCGTTACCAAACCGGCGTTCCCGCTCATTGAATGGTCGTGGAAATTTTAGCCTGCCCTTATTCCAAAACTTACCCGATGTGCTACACTTTTCGTGAACGAAATGCGAGAGCGCAGCACTTTTTCATTCCGAATTGACCTTTTGTGTTCATTCAGGAGTTTCAGTCAAGTCGGTTGCACGTAGAACAGGCGGCTCGATTTGAACAGCTGTCAACGGCGCTAAAGCGAGTCGCACGCGCCTCGATGTTTGATGGGAAGGATTTGAGGGGCAAGCGATTGGCTTCACATCACACATCACCTCCTCTAGCACGTCTTCCATCAAGGAGAAAGCTAGAAAGGAAGGAACCTCAGCATCAACATCAGGACCTCTGCCGGCCACGATAGCATTTTACGGAATGATACAAGCTGCACTCACAAACTCACCAGTCACACATGCAGTACACAAACATAATTTCGACCACAGACAGCATCAACAAGGCTCCCGCGAGCTGTAAGACGACAAAAGCCCCATCGACCCAGAACAAACGCCGACCATGTTCCTCTCCTGCTCTCCCGCTCCGCCTCATAAAACAGTGCAGCTCGAAGATCACTTAATGACCGTCCGGCGTACCCATTCGCCTCCACGTGCGCGGGTTCCCGCCCGCCGTCAGTACTCATCGCAAATGCGTTCTGGTTACAGTCGACTCACTTGAAATACGCCATCTATCGCGTCAGCGCACCCAGATCGTCTCCTCGTGTGAGCATTCCCGATTCCCGCCGTCGTTCCCTGCTCCTCTCTCCAACCATTCCTCGCGCGGGACATGTTATCCATAGAACCATCCTCATTCCGCCCGCGCTTCGGTCTCGTAAAACAGTTCACCTACCTAGCCCTCACCCCTCAGCCCACCAACTCATAGGGTCACTCGAATTTCCCAGAGTCTAACCAGCGCATCGTTACGTGCTCGTTCTCCCCTACCTCAATCATTACAGCGTAATATGCAACCTTCCCCACCGCTCGCCAGGCGCCCATTGGATTCTCGTTTCATTCCGCTCATACATCTCACACCCCACCCTACGCTCAACGAGGCACTTCAAGTGGCGCGGCTCATTGTCGGCCACTTGGACCCACTTTTGAGGCCCATCTGCTGCAACAGTGTGCCGCGAGGGACTACAAATAAGCCCCATCTGTAGGGCCGATAGTGGCGTCACATCATCCAGCGAGTTACGTGCAGGGTAGGTAGGAGTATTCAATGGTCTCGCTACTGTCGCTGCCGACCGTCTGAAGCCACAAACCGGAGAGTAGTGTCTCGTGGCCTGTGGACGGTCTTTAGATGACGGGAGGGTATGGCTGTTGATCATGCAGCCAATCTCGCCCGCACGTTTTCGAAACAGTGCCACAGTGTTTGTAGAAGGTGCCTACCGACGCCGCAGTTTAAAAAAGGGGGAAGACGTCAAGGTGCAAAAAAGCGAGAGAGAAAGAGAAAGGCACAACGAGGTGGAAAATAGTGGATACCGCCTCCCCCTGCCATATCTGTGACCCTATTAACTCATTTCTTGCGGACCTCATCCTTCAAGACATAAAGACACTCACCCGCCCTGGCATCACGACGCCCTTCTTTCCGCGTTTCCCCCGTGCGTCCAATTCCCTGTGCCCAGAGCCCTGTACTCCCACGTTCCACCTATCCGGATCGCTTCTTCCCATCATCCCCATCTCTCAAGTCTTGGTTCCCATTCCTCAAGACCACTACCGACTAGCGTTAATTGCCCGACGAGTCTTGATCAAAACTCATGACCGTGTCGCAACGAGTTCCTCGACCGTGTTCTCGACGACGTCCGAAGAGAACTGTTGACCTTGCCGGGTTTGGCCTGCCTGAGTGCATCGCGCGCTTTAGCACTGAGGAGTACCCTTAGAACCGTTGTGACGTTAACTACCCTGACTGTCCCGAACGTTAACTTCTCGGAGTAACCTTAGTTCATGAGACGTCAACTACACTGAGGACCCTTAGCACCCTTAGAATCCTAGGTACGCACTGTGCCACGTTCAATCGCCATCGTCACCATTCTTAGTGGCGGTACCCCTCCTCTCCATTTGGCAGCCACCGCTGCAGTTACTCGTTTCAAACGCACATTCTGCCAGTGCCTTGATGCTGATGGCTCAAATATTTTCCTTGATGAGACGCGGCTCCTTAGCAATGTTGCTCTCGATAATAACCGCCTCGTTATTAGTCGTAATGTCGCGTGCCCATGTGCAAGACAGGCCGTACGATGACATCCCCGTTATAACGCCGGAGCAACTCGATCGCGATATATCCCCGGAGGATCGGTTACAGATCGAAGTGACCACCCGAGCCGCCATAAACTCTGCGCGGCTCGGTAGCCTCCGCGACTCTGGCGGCGGTGTAATCGCGAACCGCCACGTGTCATACGTTGAGAGGTGGCTGACGCAGCTCCAAACGATCGAATCGTCCCTCACCACGGCCTTACAACGGACCAGGAAGAAGACAAACTGCAGCCAAATTCTAGCAAAATCAATTTTCCAGGTGCACAAAGCTCGGCCGTTGATCGCGGAAGGCGAGCTCAATCGTGCGGCCAGGAAGCTCAAATACACGACCAACGGGCTAGGCGCGTGCCTGACGACGCCCAGCATCGACGCGACAAGCAGCAGCGCAAGACAGCTGACCCGAAACGCCATGCAATGGGCGACAGAAATCGTCCTGCAGATGCGCAACCGGGCCGACGGCGGGAATGGCGGCGGCGGAGGCGGAGGCGGTCAGGGGCGCACGCCGACGAGCCAGTCGCCTGGGGATGAAAGCGGGCCGCCAGGGAAGTCGACGGGAATCCTGGGGTCGCCGGTTCAACCGCTCGCGATTGATTACTGCGAAACGTTTGCGAAAGTGGCGAGTAACGCTGCGACAATCGTAGTGGATACCACCACCGGCTGCCGTGAGTAACCGTGCATTTTAGGCTTTTTTATTTCCTAGCTCAATCATGTGAAGGTAACTCGGGGGCTCAAACCTCGTTAGGCTCTCTTTTTCTTGGCTTGAACCTCGCTTTTTCTTGTTTTCTACTGTGTGGATCGTTGTGTTCTGTCTTCCCGTTGACGTTACAGGCGGCAGTCGCGTGAGGTCGACGGTTCAATACCCGTCTGGCATCTTCAGCGCGCAGATAAAATGCCCTGCTGGCGACATGAACGGCCTCGTGCAGTCCTTTTACGTAAGACTATTTGAGCGACACGAGCGACATGAACGACGTGAACGATATGAACCACACGAGTGATATGGGTGACATGAGCGACATGAACGGCATGAGGGATATAGGTGACATGAGCTACGTGAACGACATGAGGGATGTGAACGATGTGTGAGCAACTTTAAAGACGAACGACATTAACGACAAACGCGCCCTCTCCTTTGCACCCCCCTACTTCCGTCCACTCATCCCCCCCGCCAGCATTTCTTCCCCCCCACCCACACGTTTCTGACCATTGACCTTCTCTCATTATCCACCATGCTTTGCCGTGTTTGAAAAGCTCTTGTTACCAGTGTGCGAAATTGCATGGTTTCTCCACCTTTGGTGTGCAAAACAAGATAATAGCGAATCTGAATTAGCAACCCACTCCCAACCCGCTAACGCTTCCTTCTCCTTCCACCCCCCTCCTTTTGCCTCACCCTTCCCAGTTGTCCTCGTTAGAAGGCAGCAAAGGCCAAGACGAGATAGACTTTGAATTTCTTGGCCGCGATAAATTGAGCGTGCAGACGAACTATTATGTGAATGGCGTGGGCGGTCACGAGGCGCTCATTCCGCTCGGTTTTGACTGTTCCTCGGGATTCCACGAATACGTCATTTACTGGAACGCTCGGCAAATAGTGTGAGTATGAAATGAATGTGCGAGTATGGAATGATTGTTCGAGTATGAAACGAATGTGCGAGTATGGAATGAATGTGTGTGTGTGGGTATGGAATGAATGTGTGTGTATGGAATGAACGTGTATAGAAATGAACGTGTGAGTATGGAATTAACGTGTGTGTATGAATTTCACGAATACAAACTCAAAACAAAGCTGTGAGCATCAGTTTCATTTGGGTGTTGCTTTTGTTCTTCTAGGTTCCACAGTTTCAGCTACTTCAACTCGATGCTATAGTAGTCACGTCCTTCCTATCTGCAAATTCTTTGTTCTCAACAATCTGATTTCCCCTTTCTCCCCAACTTCCTCTCTCCTCTCCCCTCTCCCTTACAGTTGGCAAATTGATGGGCAAGTCAAGAGGGTGGTTCAAAGGAACAAGCTAAACGGAGGGCCCTACCCCACCAAGCCTGCCTTCCTCTACTCCTCCGTGTGGGACGCTTCTAGCGTTCTCGGTGGGACGTGGGCTGGCACTTTCAACGGCAGAGATGTGCCTTATAACTCGTAAGTAGTGTATTGATAATGTGCCTTATTCGTCTACATGTCATCCCTCCATCTCGTAAGCTAAACGGAGGGCCGTACCCCACCAAGCCCTACCCCTTCCTCTACTCCTCTGTGTGGGACGCCTCTAGCGTGCTCGGTGGTTCGTGGGCTGGCACTTTCAATGGCAGATATGTGCCTTCTAACACGTAAGTAGTGCACATGATAAGGTTAAATATCTCTGTGCGTTTTCTCCCTCTCCCTCTCACATGCTCACACGATGACACCTGTGTATACCCATGCACTGACCTTGCACCCCTCCCCATATCTAACCACCTCCCAACCACATCCATTATATTTCAACACTCCAACAGCCAATACAATAACTTCCTCGTTACATCTCCAGCTCCATAACGCCTGGATTGGACCAGCATCTGCGACCATGTAACACCTCCGATGATGTAACACCTCCGACGATGGAGCACTAGCCACATCACAAGGAACCAACTTCGGATGCTGACTGTGCTGCAGCAAAGAGAACTAACCCCCTCAGGACCCTGCTCAAATCCTCCAACGACCATGGCGGCTAACTTTTCGCTAAGTCCTAACAATACCCTTCCTCAGTGCACAACCTGACTTTTTGCCACTCCCCCCCAATAAGCCCTCAATTGTTTCTTGTTGAGAGCTGGTGGCGTAACGCTCATGCGGTGGCATGCATCGTTTTTGTTTACAAATAATTAAATAGAGGAACTGCTGTAGCAGCACGCCAGGGGAAGCCTTCAGGCTCCTACATACAAGCGTCAGCTAGACTTGGCTGCGGTAGTTTACTTGTGTATACAATTTAAGGATGGACGGACATACTGGTTCTTGATGTCCCTGTTATGTTACTGTAGCTGTAGCTGAGTAAATAAACCAGTACATACATGCATTATGGGGGAACACGGGCCAAATGTACTTTGAGATGTGAGCTGCAAAAGAGTTTTTGAAATCGCATGATAAAGGCTTAGAAAATTGATGGGATGCTATTTTTCAAAAGTACAGTGCCATGCCTACATTCTTAACACTGTAGCCACACTTCTTGTAGAAGTCCACATTTTTCTCATCACAATCTAAAATGACCTGAAAAGTCAAAAAGAGGGACGGGGGAAGGGAATTGTACGGATTTACACTTTGTGGCGGACGCGCTGAAGGGAAATGGATTAGGCAACGACAACCACTAGGAGGAGTGGTTGATGCTAACATCTACCATAGCAGGAGCTCAAAATGTTACCTTGTAGCAACCTTGTTTCTTGGCGATATCGGTGAGCGTTTGGATGATTCTGGCGGGCGGAAAAGATGGAAGGGCAAGGAAGGAAGGAGGCTCTATACAAGGTGTAAGGGGAGGGAGGGTGGGAGATGAGGGACATTTGAACTCATGTGAAATGGATGGTGTGGTGCTGCAGAGACGAAGGAAATCTGAACAGGGCATGTGTGAAAGCTGGACTAATGGTTTCTACTCAAAAGTCAGCTCTGTGTGAAAGCGGGACTATGCGGAGAAACCAAACCCCTGGGTTTACAGGTGATTCCCCCTCTCACAGGTTTACAGGTGATTCCCCCTCTCACACCCCCCCTTCACACATCCCCCCTTCCCCACATCCCCCCTTCCCCACATCCCCCCATCCCCACATCCCCCTTTCCCCCCACCTGTGCCCCAGGTGCTTGCCCTGCATGCTGCTGTGCACCACTATATCCTCTATGTGCCCCACCTGAGGGGGGGAGGAAGGTGGGAGGATAGGAGGGGGAAGGAGAGGGGTTATGAGGGAGATATGGATTTAGCCAGCACTGCTGAATGCTGCTGTGCACGACTATGTGCTCTATGTGAATTCTGAGTCGACTCAAAAGTTACCTCGACTATGTCCTCTGTGTGCCCCACCTGCGGGTGGGTGGGGAGGTGTGGTGTGGGGGCGGGAGGAGAGGGAAGACATGCATGTAGCAGGTGTGGTGTGGTGTGGTGTGGTGTGGTGTGGTGTGGGTGCACCGCTGCATGCTGCTCTATGTGCCCTGCTTGTGTGGAGGGGATGGGGAGAGGAGGCGTGGGGGCAGAAGGAGAGGGATGGGGGGGGGAAGGAGAGAGATGGGGGGGAAAAGGAGAGAGACGGGGGGGGGAGGGAGGAGAGAGATGGGGGGGTGGGGGGGGGGGAGGAGAAGGATGGTGGGGGAGAAACATGCATGTAGCCAGCCAGCACCGCTGCATACTGCTGTGCACCCCTATGTGCTCCATGTGCCCTGCCTGTGGGAAGGGGGGAGGTGCAGAGATGGGGAGGAATTGGGGAGGGAGAATTGAAGTACAGAATCTGGCAGCAGCACTGAGGCATGCTGCTGCAGTTGGCACCACCATGCACCACTGTGAACCACTGTGAACCATTGTGATTTTTGAGTCGACTCAAAAACCACTGTGCACCATTGTGCACCACTGCACACTACAATGCACCACTGGCAACAGTGGGCGATCGATGTGGGTAAAACGGCTGTTACCGAACTGATTCAGAGAGAAGAAGAGAGGGGCAGAGTTTCTTACTCAGTGACAAGGACCGCTCGAGAAGAGAGGGGCTGGTACAAAGGAAACTGGTACCATCTGCCACATGACTTTTGAGTCGACTCAAAAGGAAACTGGTACCATCTGCGCCCAGAACAAATGCCCCAAGAATCTCCAATCTCCCTTCTTATTCAAATGACAAGGACCGCTCGAGAAGAGAGGCGCTGGTACCCCTGCCACATGAACAACTGTGGTGAGTTAAAGGAAACTGGTGCAAAGGAAGAAAGCGGGACGAGCAAGTCAATGTCTCCTGTGCCCTGAGCAAGGTGACTTTTGAGTCGACTCATAAGTCAACTCAATATCATCTGCGCCTGGAAAAAATGCCCCAAGAATTTTTCTTTTTTAAGCGTCTAAAAACTGCTATGGATGAAAGGGAAGGCGTGCTGTTACCTTGCCGCATGAACGAAGGAACTTGAACTCTATTAGCAGAGTTCCTGTGCCCACCACTCTGTTGCTCACTGTGTCTGCGAAAGGAAGGGGGAGGAGAGGAAGAAGAAAAAGGAGTGAAGTTGTTGTGAGGAGCTTATGGTACGAGATAGGGAAAAGAGAACTATGAGAAAGGAAAGAGAGGAAAGAGGAGAGAGGAGAGAGTGGAGAGGGGAAAGGGGAACTATGAGAAAGGAAAGCGAGGAAAGAGGAGAGAGGAGAGAGTGGAGAGAGGAAAAGAGAACTATGAGAAAGGAAAGAGAGGAAAGAGGAGAGAGGAGAGAGTGGAGAGAGGAGAGAGTGGAGAGAGGAAAGGTGAACTATGAGAAAGGAAAGCGAGGAAAGAGGAGAGAGGAGAGAGTGGAGAGAGGAAAAGAGAACTATGAGAAAGGAAAGCGAGGAAAGAGGAGAGTGGAGAGAGTGGAGAGAGGGAAGGAGAATTATGAGAAAGGAAATAGGGCACAGTCAGGGATCACCAGTCAGAACCCCAACCTTACAATCTCGAAACGGCATAGAGCAATGCACATGCATGCATGCGGCATGTAACAGGAATGTGTACGCGGCATTGTCTGAAGCACCTCACTCACCTGCAGCCACCACACACGATGCACAAGTGCGTTTTTTAGGTGCCTCGAAAATCGTCTCTCAAGTCACGCAAAAGCCGCATTAACTACGAGTTAGAGCGCCTCACCTTCAACCACCACGATCCGATAGTCCGAGGAATGCTGAGACACGTTGCTTTTGAGAGTGCTCAAAAGACCGTTTGTGAGACAGGACGCATTGACTAGAGAGTGAAACGCCTCACCTTCAACCACCACGATCCGATAGTCCGAGGAATGCTGAGACACGTTGCTTTTGAGAGTGCTCAAAAGACTGTTTGTGAGACAGGACGCATTGACTAGAGAGTGAAACGCCTCACCTTCAACCACCACGATCCGATAGTCCGAGGAATGCTGAGACACGTTGCTTTTGAGAGTGCTCAAAAGACTGTTTGTGAGACAGGACGCATTGACTAGAGAGTGAAACGCCTCACCTTCAACCACCACGATCCGATAGTCCGAGGAATGCTGAGACACGTTGCTTTTGAGAGTGCTCAAAAGACTGTTTGTGAGACAGGACGCATTGACTAGAGAGTGAAACGCCTCACCTTCAACCACCACGATCCGATAGTCCGAGGAGCGCTGAGACAGCAGGGCGAACCTGTCTGCAGGGCAGCGGGGCGTCAATACAACAGCCAGCTCAGCATAATCAGTGTTATCGAGGCGCCTCAAAATTGACACGTTGACAAAATCTCGTGATTCACTTCCGAGAATCATCAAGAAGTGGGCGTGGATACAACAGCCAGCTCAGCATAATCGGTGGTGTTGACAATTTTCTTTTTTCCCGACTAAAAGGTCGTCTCGTCTCATCTTACACAGGAGAGGATGCTGGTCCGCGGAGGAAACGGAGTTGTCGATAATACAGCCATATCAGCATGTTTAGCATAACCGGCGTATTCACTTGTAGCGCTTATTTGAAGGGTTGGCATAATCGATGTTTTTGGCATATTTGGCATGATGTGCGTACCTTTGAATTGCTCCTCCGTTACTGTACCAGTAGTTGTTAATTGTGAGAGGAGCTCCATGTATCCTGTCATGCACACGCCATGCACATGCCATACACATGTCATGCACACGCCATGCACATGCCATACACATGCCATGCACACGCCATGCACATGCCATACACATGTCATGCACACGCCATGCACATGCCATACACATGTCATGCACACGCCATATACATGTCATGCACAACTCATACACGTGCAATGAACAAGCCATGCCAAGGATAGTTCATGTTCATGGATGTACATGCGCCAAGATGTCTCGAGATGGAATACAGCGATGGAATGACGACTACAAACGGTTACAGGCGGTTACAGACGGTTACAGACGGTTACAGACGGTTACAGACGGTTACAGATGGTTATAGACGGTTCAACATGGGAGTAGGGGATTTTTGACCGCATACATCCAGGTTCTACCGTCATACATCCTGACTCCAGACAAGCATGCACATAGGCACAGAAGCACACACCCATCCACACGTACAGATGCACATATGCGCCTCATCCCCCCCTTCAACCAACCAACCCCTCCCACCCTCATCCCACCCCCCTCCCCCCCCCTCTCCCACCCCCCTCCCACCCCCCTCCCACCCCCCTCCCACCCCCCTCCCACCCCTCTCCCACCCCCCTCCCTACCCCCTTCCAACCCCAACCCCAAAAATCCTTTCTCCAACCCAACCGGCTGCCCCTACTCACACACGTACACGCATTCCCATCCCACCCACCTTTGCTATATTCGCCCTCTTTTAAGCCACGCAGCACGAGTCCATCCGGGAGGGAAACTTCCGTCTGTGTTTCCCCCGACCCTCTGGTTTCTTCCTGCGCCGTATCTTCCGTCGGCCCCCCCATGGTTACCCTAATGCTTCTTCGTTAGCCAATCGCCAACCCTCGCGACGCTGCAGTACAATATTAGGCGGTTTTGAACGCAAGGTAACAACTAAGGGCGAAATTTGCGAAACTTCGTTATGCTTGGTTCGTCTGCATGCGGAGGACAAGACAAACGAGCTGGTCTGCGTCTCAAGCCCAGCCTTGTTCTCGCTGTGACTGATCCTCTTCTTACAAAAACATTGTACACCCTGTTTCTCGCTACACTGAACTGCGGAAACACACTGAACAGTGGAACTATTCCTTGGACGTATTTGAAAAGTTTTGCCATATCCGTCTCTAGGAGGCGGGTGATCGGAAATTTCGTTGACCTGGGTACCCTACCGAGCCATATCAAAAGTTTAATCGACCGTCTTCAAAGGTAGCTGACCTCGTCAAACCGAACTGGTGCAAAAGTTTACTATATCGCGTAATTTGGCGCGTTGAGCCACAGGGTTCAGTATACCGGCATACACAATAGCGAGAAACAGGGTGTATGCCGATGCCTTTCCAACTAATCTGTTCGATGCGACGTAAAGATTCACCCACGAAACGGAAGCAGTCGCAATGGTCATGAAACAAAGGGAATATGAAACATTCGATACTAGCGTGTTGCAGAACTAGCATTTCCATGGAAACATGTTGCAGAACCATTGTGCAATTTCTCTAGTACCTTTCCTGAAGCTAGAGGCACCAGAATGTACCGCTTTGCTTTGCCTCCCCACACATGTGTTGTTCTTGTCCGCTGATTCTCATGCATATTACTGGTACCAGAAAGGGATGATGAGATCTCAAGCGGATATAAAAGGACTATGCATATTCATTTTAGTGTATAACTCTTTGCTATGCCGTTGCTAACACAGGTAAATCCGCTCAAGTCAATCATTTCAATCCAAAAAAAAAAAAACAGCAACTAAGGAGCATTTGTTAAAGATCCATGGACATTGAGCTAATCTAGAAATAAATCATTAACAGTCATTTGATGGTAATAAATGCTTGCAGTTGTCTACATACGCTGTGAAGTGCTTACTACGGAAATGTTGTTTGTTTACCAGAGTACAGTAATTCGACTCTGTCAATACTAAAGTTTCGTGCCGTGTACAGAGTTGTGTGTAAAGTGTAATGAGTTTCTTTACGGCGATCTACTTTTGGTGGAAAGGGAGAGGCTTGCCAATTTGAACGAGGCGGCGAACTGTCATTATCAAAATAGCATTCCAGGAATCCAGCAGCGTATCCTTATCGAATTTCCAGCTGCTGGCAAATCTCTGGCTCAACACCGTATTCTGGATGCTCATGCACACATAAATTTCCCGAGTTCACAGTAGTCAGATCAGGGGTTTAGGATTGAAGTATTCCTCCGCGTGCTTTACAACTTCTGGGGTTTCGTTCACGCTCTTTACAGCAGCATTTCTGGAAGCGTTTTTCGTTTTACGTAAATACACTTGATGGGACTTTGCTCTTCTCAACCTGATCCCTTCCCACCATGACTAGTGCCCCTCAAGTGAGCCTACGGAATGTACGGAACCTACTGCTTGGTTTGGTAGTTCTGGTATTCCTCCTTCCCCGCTCCACTGTTCTCACTTCCGCGGCCACAGTGCAATCCATTATTTGCAGAATATGTACCGCCCTTGCCCCATTGACATGGAGGCAACTTCACCCCTCGTTTGCAGGAACCGTCTTGTGAAATACTTCCAATGCTGACGAGAAACTATGCTCCTAAGTTGGCGCACTGCAGTGGCAGGGAGAACCTCTTTAGCAGCTCGGATCCGTCAGGGACACCCAAAACTAATCAAGAGCCCCGGTCCCTCCATGAACCACCCACCCATGCCTTCCACCACAGACGTCCAATGCCAGCTCAGCAACACTGCCAGCTCCTCCTCACTTCACCTGGCAGCTAGATTAGTTGGGGTGGGGACCGAATTGCTCATATGGTTGCCTCGCCCTTCCGCTTCCTCACTATTTGACCGCTTTTGCAAAGTGAACCGTGTGTGTGTCCTTCACATGACATTCAACATACAGTATCCGCCTGATCCCTTTCGCTTGTCTTCCTGAGGCGCTACATCTGATCTGATCAGCATCGAAAAAGACAAACAGAATAAACGCGCTAACAGTCCCTCAATCGTAACAGTTAGAGGTCTTAAGGGGGAGAATTTCAACTTTCGGGCGGGCGTTTCTTTCAGTGACTATTCGTGATAGCCTCGTGGGGCGACGAGTGACCATCCGTGATAACCAGTGACCATCCGTGATAGAATCGCCTGTTTCATTGACCGTTCTTGATAACCTCATGACCATTCGTGATAGCGCGTTCTTTTTAGTGACCATTCGTATAATAACCCGGAGATGGGGGAGGGAAGTGGGAAGAGGTACTGTACAGCACTGTACCAAACTTGAACATAACGATGACCAGACAAGAACATTCTATACCGTAGTGAAAGCATACGAAAACGCACTGAAACGTTCCGGAATATTCTGGAAATAACAGACAGCAGTGCAAGCACAGAATCGTGTTCCATCAGCCGCACAATCACTGTTTCCACAGGCTTGGACGCGGTTCTAAAGATTTAGTAACACAATAGCAGGCCTTCTGTACGGTTTCGAGTCGAATTTGGGTTCTCAATTCTCGAGATCGTCAACTTGCACCCGTTCCTCAACAAGAGAACATGAGAGAAAGGCTGGCTAGAAGCAAGCTGAGCTTTAGGTTAGGAGACTTCGAGCATTATACACTATCCTGGCGATCTCGTATCTCGATTCTCGTGTACCACTGGACAACGGAGCGACGGTGTCACGGTGGTTAGAGAAAAAACAACGTGTGCTTCTGGATGGATGGAGCATGAACCACAATCAATGGCGTACGCAAGCATTCGTTTTCTAGTTTCCGTTTCATGAGTGGCTTCCTCTCTTCTCTGGATCGTTTCAGATTTAGTGCTACTGTACCAGCAGTTCGGGCGATGTTGGTCCTGAAATCCTGATTCCTCCTCATGGCCCAGCTCTCCCACTCTCGCGAATCACTATCCAGACCAGTTGTCACCTGATACTTTTGAGAATTCTCAGCTGAGTTTTTTTTATTCAATACCTCCTTATTCACCAATTAGTCCTCCTTGGGTTCGGCAGCCGCAAGGACCGTCTTAACATTGATATTGCCTCTGTTCCATCCGCGCGCGGGCGTCCCAGTTGACTCCGAGATCACCCCAAGTCCTCCTTACAAGCAGCTTCGGCGGCTGCACCAGTCTGTCCTTGAGTCGAAATCGTCGTGGCTCCGGCGGCAGACTCAATTGGCTGTAGCAGGGGTGCTGCTAGCATCATTATGGCGGACTGCGCCTCGCCCTTCAGTTTCCCCTCTCCGCATGACGCGCCACGTGTCACGCGAGATGGCTCTGCCACAATTGGCGGTTTTTCCGAGGGCAGTGAGCAGGCGAAGGCATCAGGAGTCTTTGCGTTGTCGACATTTTCGCGGCGACGCGTCACGACAACAGGCGCGTCAGCCTGGCCGCCTAAGTTTGATGAGGTGCCGCTGACGGAAACCGTCGAGGTGACGGACGGCTTTAACAGCTCCGTCCCTGAATTTACGGACCCTCAAACTGCGGAAATTTCTGCTCCAGTCCCTACACCAGTCTCTGCGCCAATCACAGCGCCAATCGCCACGCCAGTTCCCACGTCAGTCCCCGCGCCAGTCCCCACTCTGATTGGGGCGCCAGCAGCTATCGACCCGGAAAAGCTGGAAGCATTTCAGCTGAAAATCCTCTCCTCGGTTACTTATCAGCGCCGGGCTGAATCACAACACGACACGTGTCTTGCGGGACTCGCGCCGCCACATCAGCCGGACGTCTCTCCGCTTCGCTGTCTTAGTCCGCGGAGCGGCGGCGGCTCCTCTTCCGCCGACGGCCGCCATTTCCCGCGCTTCTCTCCTCTGCCGTACCCGCGCAGTCCGCGGCCGTCGCGGCAGCAAGTTCTGGCTTCCGCGGCGGCGGGTTTCGAGGAGCGTCAGGACCAATCAATAACGACGGCGTCGCTGTCGGCTCCGACCTCAGACTTAGAAGTATTTTCGGGCTTAGATACTACCTTCGTTCTTCCGAGAAGCGCCACGACTACTAGTACCACCAGCACTGCCAGTACTAATAGTAATATTAGTACATGTGGTTACCAATGTCTTTCGCTCGGGACATCGCGACTGTCGTTTCTTCCCTTCCCCAAGTCCCTCACCTGCCCGCTGGAGGCTGCGACGACCGTTTCCGCGGCGGCGGCTTGCGGCACCAGCGCCGGCGGTTCCGCTGCTTCCGCTCTTGAAGCCGCGTCTCTTCCATCCCCTACCGCTTGCGCGGGCGCTGGCGCGAAACCGTCCTCCTCCGCCGTTCGCGCCGCCCTTCCCTCGGGGGACTCCGACGCGGAACCGCTCTTTGTCAGATTCTCCCGCGCCTCGTCGTGCGGGAACCTGCCGTCTCTCCAATCCGCCGTTTCCCCGTCCCCGCGGCGCCAACGGACCGCTCCGCGTGAGCAACCATTTCTTCCTCTGTCGATTAGTAGTCTATGCGCCGCTGCTACCACCTCCGCCGCCGCCTCCGCCGCCGCCGCCGCCGTGATGGTAACAACTGCTCCGACGGCGTCCGCGGCGATCGCGGCGGGGGGATATCAGGGGAGCGCTGGCGGCCGGCAGAGGCGGGCGTTCGACGCGGCCGTTCCGCCGCCTTCTCCGCCGCTTTCGCCGTCGCGTGCCGCGCACTTGGCGCGGCGTTTCCGCGCAGGGGTGGTGGCGCAGATGGTGCGCCAGTCGCAGTGCGTGCAGCTGGTCGTGCGGCCCGCCGATGGCGCCGTGACTTGCGCCAGCCGAGGCGCGGAGAGGGTGTTGCGCGCAGAAAAGGGGCGGCTGGAGGGGGTGAGTGCGCGAGTGAAGGAGAGCGAGTGAGAGACTGAGGGGCCGAGTAAAAGAGTGAGGGGTTGGGTGAGTGTGTGAGTGAGGGGGTGACTGTGTGTGTGAGCTCCCAATGTGCGAGTTTCTCTCCCCAACCCCTCTCCCCATTCCTCCATTCCTCTCCCCTCCCCTCTCCCTTTCCACCCCTTCGAATTCTCTCGTTTCTCCCCCAACTCGATCCCACCACCGTATTTTCCGCCAACCCCTCTCTTCCCACTCCTCCGTTTCTCCCCCCTCCCCACTCCCCTTTCCATTCATTCCCCCTTGCTTTCTCTTGTTTCTACATTTAGGTCGACTAAAATTCCGCCCCTGCTTTTTCCCCCACCACCACCCTGACATCTTAGCTTTTTTCCTGCCCCCGTTTCTTGTTCCAGAACCCACACTCACCCTCCACCCCCCTTCCCCCCAACTCTCTTACACGCTCCCTCTGCTGCTCCGCCTTCGTCCTCCTCCCTGTCATCCGTTGCCCCTTCCCTCAGAGCTCCTTTCTTGGAATGGCGGGTAGTGCGTTGTCTTTGGACACGTGGCGGCATCTCGTTGGCCAGCTGGAGAGTGGCAGTGTGGACGTGGTAACCCTATCTCTGCCGCTGCGGCGTTGCAATGATGGGTATGGACCAACATTAGTATCAGCTGCACCAGCATCAGCAGCAGCACCGGAAGCAGGAGCAGCACCAGCAGCAGCAGAAGCAGCAACAGAAGCTGCTGCAGCAGCAGCATCACCAGATGCAGCAGCATTAGAACCCACAACGTCAGCTGTGACCCCCCCCTCCGCGCCCCCTCTCTTGCTCCCTGAGGCACATCCGCGCACAGGCGCGCAGTGGCTGTACCGCTGGATGGTGGGGCGAGAGAAGCGCGCAGGGGGGAAGGGGAAGGGCGCTGTGGGGGAGGAGGGGGAAGAGCGCGAGGATAAGGGAGAGGGGAGGGAGGAGCGTGAGAAGAGGAAGGAGCGGAGGGAGGAGGAGGCGGAGGAGGAGGAAAACAAGGAGAGGCAGCAGCAGCAGCAGCAGCAGCCACAGCCGCAAGGCCAGAGGCAGCAGCAGCAGCAGCAGGGTCAGCAGGGGCTGGAGCAGCAGGAGCAGCAGGAGCAGCAGGGGCAGGAGAGGGAGTGGTTGGTGGCGGTGAGCATTCAAATCTTTGAAGTTGGGCCGTGCAAAGACCTGGTCATAACAGGTGTGCTCTCCTTCCCTGTCTTTGCTATCGCCTGCTCTGCTCTTCTCTCACCCTGCCTGCTCTGCTCTACTCTCACATCGCCTGCTCCGCTCTTCTCACACCTGAGTTGTCTCCAATCTTGTTCTCCTTCTATGCCTAATCTTCGCCTCTCCTCTACTTTCTGGTTTTCTGGTTGTCCTCACTTTTCATTTCTGGTCTGGTTTTCTCTCATCGTCCATCCTCCCTCCTCACTCCTTGCAGTCTTAACATCCCCCGAGGCCGCTTCACGTATTTCCGAACCATCGCCTGGGCACCCTTCTGAAGCTAAGCACGAGGCTCGGCAGCAGCCCAAAGCCACACGTCCGGCGTTTGTGCAAGAAGCAAAGAGCCACCACACTTGCAATGATGCTGACATTCCTCCGCTGGTGACGAGGCAGACTGAACCTCACACCGAGCCTCTCTCTCAGGTTCGGAAGCATCCCGCACCGGAGATGCCCCAAGTTGTGGCTCCTTCAACTACCTCCTCTGCTGCTGCTGCTGCTGCTGCTGCCAGCTTGGCGGAGCAATCCGCCAGCTCAGCTGACCTATCTGCCAGCTCAGAAAACCCGGCTGCCAGCTCAGATGGCCAGCCTGCCAGCTCAGCAGCAGGCAGCACGGAGAGGAAGGGGGGAGTGAGCAAGTTGCAGCAAAACGTGTTTTCCACACTCCACATACCACTCGCCTCCCTCCCAACCAATCCTCTTCTAGCCACCCTCTCACAACCCAGAACTCCCCCCGCCAAGCCTGCGTCCCAAAGCAGAGGCGCAGGCTCGGTAGAGGGTTGGTTCAGGAGCTTGTACAGCGGCGGCAGGAGGAAAAAGGCCCAGCAGAGCGTCCTCCCGATCCTGAACCGCCGAGCAGGTCGGGGAGGTTTGGGTGGTGGAGGAGGGAGAGATGGGGAGGGTGCACATGGGGAGACGATAGCAGAGATTGCGAATGCTGCTAAGGCAGCTTCTGCTGTTGCTGCTTCCTCCACTGCTGCTGCTGTCGCTGCTGCTGCAGCTGCTCTGAACGAAGTTGCTGATTCGACCACCTTTTCGGAAACCAGTGCCACCACCTCGCATGCTGATTGCACCACCCTTACTACTACCAGTGCACTTGAGACGACGTCTCAAAAGTCGTCTGCTGTAGTTGCTTCTGCTTCTACCCCCCTTGTGGTGTTGAGTCCAGCTGCTGTTCCCTCTACTACTGCTCCTGCTTCTCTTTTGCTCTCTCCCCCTTCCCCTGTCTCTGCCTCTGCTGCTTTCCCTCTCCCTCTCCCTCTCTCGCCCCCTGCTTCCGTCGCTCGCTCTTCCTTCGCCCCTGCCGCTGCCCCCCTCTCTGCGTCCCTCTGTACCTCAGCCTCAGCCGCTATTCCTGCCACGTCTCCTCCTCTTACTCCCACTCTCATCCTTCCTCCTCCTCCTCCTCCATCTCCTCATCCTCCCATTCCTTCACCTGTCCTTACCCCAAAAACCGCCTCACGGGTTGAGGCACCTGAAAACGCCCTTCTTACCCTCGCTCCGCCCACCCTCGCCCCTCCTGCCCTCGCTCCTCCGACCCTCGCCTCTCCTGCCCTCGCTCCGAAATCCCCTTCAGGGGTTGAGGCGGCGTCTGACAGTTCCCTCATTACCCTCGCCCCTCTTGGCCTCGCCTCTTCTGAATCTTACTCAGAACTCCGTAAAGGCAAGCTAAGCACGTGGGACGTGGCTGTTGCGCGAAACGCAGGGACCACTGGGGCAGAAGGCGACGAGGAGAAGCAAGCAGGAGAGGAAGAGAAGGGGGCAGGGCCGGCAGGGCAAGGAGGAGCCAAGGAGCAGGGTGGCAGGGAGCAGGGGGGAAAGGACCAGCAGCAGCAACAGAAGAAGCAGCACCAGCAGCAACAGCAGCAGCAGCAGGCGCAGCAACCGCTGGGGATGAGGCGCATTCGGGTGGATCCATCTCAGAAGCCAAGGGGGGCGTCAGAGACATGGCTTCTGCATGACTTCAAGGAGAGACCCGGCAACCAGTTCAGGTTCCGCATGCTCTTTGAGCTATCCTCTGTGAGTTCAGCATCTTTTAGGTGTTGAATTGGACTGGTTCTTGAGAACTCTCTGGCTGCCTTGTTGAGTTGAGAGCGCATCTCAGAAGCCAAGAGGGGCATCGGAGACGTGGCCCCTACATGTCTTCAAGGAGCGACCCGGCAACCAGTTCAAGATCCGCATGCTCTTTGAGCTCTCCTCTGTAAGTGCGGAGTCTTGAGATCCTATGATGGATTGAAGTTTGAACTCTCCTCCGTGAGTGCACGTGCATGCCGTAGATAATTCCCTTGCTGCGTGTGTTTTTGAGAATTCTAAAAAATAATTACCTTGCTGCGTGTGTTTTTTGAGAATTCTCAAAAATAATTCCCTTGCTTGCTTGCTTGTTGTGTTGAGAGCTCAGCTCACCCCCGCGCCTTCCCCTCCTCCCACCCTCCTTTCCCCTTTAGGACCCCAAGATGCTGCTGAGCAAGGATGGCAGGCTCTTAGACTGCAACCAGGCGACGGTGCGGATGATCAAAGCACGAAGCAAGGACCACCTCATAGGCCGCACCATCCAGTCCAGTCCCTCTACCCCTCTCATCCCCACCCTCCTCGCCAGGACCCGAAGATGCTGCTGAGCAAGGATGGGAGGCTCTTAGACTGCAACCAGGCAACGGTGAGGATGATAAAAGCGAGGAGCAAGGACCACCTCATAGGCCGCACCATCCAGTCGCTCTCCCTGTCCCTCTCTTTCCCTCCTCTCCTCTGCAGGACCCCAAGATGCTGTTGAGCAAGGATGGGCGTCTCTTAGACTGCAACCAGGCGACGGTGAGGATGATCAAAGCACGAAGCAAGGACCACCTCATAGGCCGCACCATCCAGTCGCTCTCCCCACTGCTACAGCCGGGCACGGGTCAGCCCGCTACAGCCCTGCAGGCCATTCTCCACGAGCTCGCCGACAGCAACGCGGCCGGCAGCAGCAGCAGCAGCAGCAGCAGCAGCAGCAGCAGCAGCAGCAGCAGCAGCCCTTCCGGCTGTAGCAGCGGCAGCTGTAGCAGCGCCGGCTGTAGCAGCCCCAGCTGCAGCAGCCGCAGCAGCAGCAGCAGTGGCAGCGGCGGTAGCAGCAGCGGCGGTGGGGGCAGCAGTGGGGGCGGGAACGGGAGCTTGGGCGGGAACGGGAGTGGAAACGGGAGCGGGAACGGGAGTGGAGCATGCGATCTGCGGCGGTTCGAGTGGGTGTTTCAGGATGACGAGGGTGGAGTGGTGCCTGTGGAAGCCCTGTGCCGCCTTGTGGACCTCATGGGTACTCCCCAGGGAGGAGGTGGTGGAGGAGATACGGGTAAATTGCAGTCTCAATCGCACGCCCAGCAGCCACAGTCCTCCTCCTCCTCCTCCTCCTCCTCCTCCTCCTCCTCCTCCTCCTCCTCCTCCTCCTCCTCCTCCTCCTCCTCCTCCTCCTCCTCCTCCTCCTCCTCCTCCTCCTCCTCCTCCTCCTCCTCCTCCTCCTCACACTCCTCTCACTCGCGAGCAGCGGTCTATCTGATGGTGTGGCACGATCTCACGGAGGTGAAGCGCAAGGAAGCGTCCTTGGAGCGAGCCAAGCAGGAGGCGGAGAGGGCAAGGCAGGCGGCCGAGAGGGCGAGTCTGTCCAAGACGCAGTTCCTGGCCAACATGAGCCACGAGATCAGAACGCCCATGAACGGTGAGATCGTCTTTCTGATATTGTATGTTATTGCCGCGCTGAATCGAGAGGGCGAGTCTGTCCAAGAAGCAGTTCTTGGCCAACATGAGCCACGAGATCAGGACCCCCATGAACGGTGAGATTTGATTCCTATGGATGGTGTAGTCACCTCTTTTGGGTCGCTGTGTGCCGAGCAGAGAGGGCGAGTCTGCCCAAAACGCAGTTCCTGGCCAACATGAGCCATGAGATCAGGACCCCCATGAACGGTGAGATCTGCTTTCTGTGAATGGCCAGATTTGATTGATTGAACAATGTTTCTTGTCAAGCGATGCTCAGCAGAGAGGGTGCTGTCCAAAACGCAGTTCTTCCGGACCCCCATGAACGGCGAGATTTGCTACTCAGGAATGGTCAGGTCATATGGTGCCGTATCTGGTCTTAATGCCTGTTACTCTGTGCCGAATCGAGAGGGCGAGCCTGTCCAAGACGCAGTTCCTGGCGAATATGAGCCATGAGATTCGCACGCCCCTTCCCCTTCTCTCTCCTGCTGCTTTTACCAACAGGAATGATCGGCGTTGCAAATCTCCTGCTAGACACGGCGCTGAGCGAGGAGCAGCGCATGCTAGCAGAGATCATCCGGTGGTGCGGCGAGGGGCTGCTGCAGATCCTGTCGGACATCCTCCTTCACCCCTGCTCACGATCGAGAGATAGCTGCCCCCTGCTCGCAATTTCCTTCCCTCTTCCCTTTCCCCCTTTCCCTCTCCACCCTCTTCCTGTCCCTTCCCAATTCTTCTCCCGGTTCTCGTCCCATTCCCTTCCCTTTCTCTCTCCCCCTGCTTCCCACAACAGGAGTGATTGGCGTTGCAGACCTCCTGCTAGACACGGCCCTGAGCGAGGAGCAGAGGATGCTGGCTGGCTGAGACCATCCGGTCGTGCAGCTAGGGGCTGCTGCAGATCCTGTTGGACATCCTCCTTCCCGCCTGCTCACGCCCTTCCCCCTCCCCTTTTCCTGCTCACCAGGCGTGATTGGAGTGGCTGACTTGCTACTAGATACGGCGCTGAGCGAGGAGCAGAGGATGTTGGCTGAGACCATTCGCTGCTGCAGTGAAAGGCTGCTGCAGATCCCCACGTCTCCCACACAGCGCATCCCTTTTCCCCCCTGCCTGCTCCCTATGCACCTTCTCCCCACCACAGGGGTTATTGGCGTAGCTGACTTGCTCCTAGATACGGCGCTGAGCGAGGAGCAGAGGATGCTGGCTGAGACCATCCGCTCCTGCAGCGAGGGGCTGCTGCAGATCCTATCAGACATCCTGGATCTGAGCAAGATCGAGAGCGATAAGATGGAGCTGGAAGCCACTCAGCTGGACGCCCGGCAGCACCTCTCCAGCTCTCTTGCTCTCTTCCGCACCGCTGTCCAAGACAAGGGGCTGCAGGTGCGTCTGCAGGGCAAGTCAAGGGGCTCCAGGTGGGTGGGTGTTGAGAGTGCAGATTCTGTCGGACATCCTGGATCTGAGCAAGGTGTTTGGGGGAGATAGTTGGGGGAACGGGGCTAAGTGAGGGGCTGCTGCAGATTCTATCAGGCATCCTGGATCTGAGCAAGATAGAGAGCGACAAGATGGAGCTCGAGGCCACTCAGTTAGATGCACAGCAGCACCTCAGCAGCTCCCTCGCGCTCTTACGCACCGCTGTCCAGGATAAGGGGCTGCAGGTGGGTTTAAGAGTGTGCATCTTTGCATTGGCCGTCAACTTGGGACGTAGGTTTACAGGCAAGGGGCTGTAGGTGGGTTTAAGAGGTCTCAACTCAAGCAGAGCTGCTGCTGGTGCTCCCCCTCCTGCTCATCCTGTCTCTCACCCTCCTTCTTGCCCTCCCGTCTTCCCATGCCTCCCTCTCCCCCTACCTCTTCCCCTTCCTCCTTTTCTTGACTCGTTCCCCCTTTTTGTCAACAGCTGAACGTGAGGGTTGCACCAGACGTGCCGCACGCGGTGACGGCCGATGCAGTGCGGTTGAGGCAGGTGCTGCTGAACCTGGTATCGAACGCCCTCAAGTTCACCCACCACGGGCGCATCTCCGTCTCCCTCTCCCGCCTCCACTCCTGCCCCGGCTGCTGCTGCTGCTCCCCCTCCCCCTCCTCCTCCCCCGGCCACCCCCTCGCATCTGCTGCTTCTCCTGCTCCTGATGCTCTTTCTCCTGAAGAAAGGAGGGAGGAGGAACGAGAGGAGGGAGCAGCAGGAGGGAGATTCAAGGAGGGGGAAGAGACAGGCGAGGAGAAAGAAGGAGCAGAAGGCAAGGAAGAGGCGAGAGGAGGCGCGGAGGAAAAGGAAGAAGCAGGCAAGGAAGAGGAGGCAGGGTCACGGGTGGTGCTGCGGTACACAGTGGCGGATTCAGGCATCGGCATATCAGAGGAGGGGCAGAGCCGGCTCTTCCAGGCGTTCACCCAGGCGGACAGCAGCACTTGCCGCCGCTTCGGAGGCACGGGGCTTGGTCTGGCTATCTGCCTGGCTCTCGTGACGCTCATGGGGGGAGCTATCGAGCTGACGAGCAAGGAAGGCGAGGTGGGTGGTGGCACAAACATGATGCAAGGTAGCTGTCTCACGCGTAGGATAGACTATTTGCAGGAGAGATGGTTCGGCGGCACGGGGCTGGGACTGGCCATCTGCCGGGCTCTGGTGACGCTCATGGGGGGCATGATCGAGCCCACGAGCAAGGAAGGCGAGGTGAGTGGTTGTGGCATGTAGCAGCAGGCAGGTCAATCATGGTATGGTATGGTAAGTCACTGTGGTGGTGGTGGTGGTGCAGGTTCGCAGGCACGGGGCTGGGTCTCGCCATCTCGGGAGCTCTGGTGACGCTCATGGGGGGAGCGATTGAGCTGACGAGCAAGGAGGGCGAGATGAGTGAGGACTGTGGCAGTAGCATGTGTAGTATAGATGGTTTGACAGGGAGATGGTTTGGAGGCACGGGCCTGGGCCTCGCCATCTGCCGAGCGCTGGTGACGCTGATGGGGGGGGGCGATCGAGCTGACGAGCAAGGAGGGCGAGGTGAGGACTGGTTGGTAGAAGAAGTATCTTTTGAGAGTTCTCAAAACCACGGTAGCTCTTAAACCAGGGCCATAGCACACATCCATATTTCGCGCTCTTCCCTCTGTCCCCCCCCCCCACCCCACCTTCCAATTCCAGGGCTCGACTTTCTCGTTCACTGTCTGTGTCGGGGCACTCAAGGACAGCCCTGGCCAGACCTCCTCTGCTGCCGAGCCTGTCGAGTACGTCTGGAGCCGAACCTCTAGCTACAGCAGCGGCCGCAGCAGCTACAATCGGAACAGCAACAACAGCAGCAGCGTTGTCAGCAGCGTCGTCAGTATTGCCACTGTGGATGGGCGAAAGGGGCGTGATTACAAGGGGTGTGGTGCAAAGAAAGGTGATTCTAACGAAAGTGGTACCAAGGCCTTTCAGGAAGAGTGCCGTGAAGTAATTCCTGAGTCGACCCAGAATCCTGTAGAGGGTACAAGAAGAGGATATTCTAATGAAGGTGCAAAGAGAGGAGATTTTAACGAAGGTACGGTGAGGAGAGGAGATTGTAACGATGCTACTACCACACGGAGCCAGCTGTGGTATGAGGGCGGAACAACACTGGGGAGACTGGAGTCGACGTTTGAGGCGCCTCAAAAGCCGTATGAGGGCGGAACTCTGGGGAGACTGGAGGAGGACACAGGGAGAGAGGACGTGGAGGGCTGCAGGGGAGGGATGCCGACAGGGGAGGAGGTGGAGGTGGAAGAGGAGGAGGAGATGGAGGAGGTGAACGTAGAGGAGGAGGGAGGGGTGGAGGTGGAGAAGGGAAAGGAATCACGAGCATTTGGAGCAGGAAGAGCAGAAGCAGGAAGAGCAGAAGCAGGAAGAGCAGAAGCAGGAAGAGCAGCATCAGTAGCGAGAAAAGCAGTTTCCACGAGGCTGAACGGTAGTGGGAATAGCGCTCACACCAGTGTCAACCAGCAGTCACTGCAGGATTCGTCGCAGCCAGCACATGCCCAAGAGCCCGCCTCTCCACTGCACGCACTCGCCCCAGAGGGCACAGTGAGAGTAGCCCCCATGAGCATCCATGAAAGCGCCTGTGGAAGCACCCAGGGGTGCGCTCGTCCCTCGACTGAAGCACGGCTTTCTGAATCGACTTTTGACGGACGCTTTGAGTCCACTCCTGAAAAACACGTGCCTGAGGGAGCCATGAAGGTGGCCGGGGGGAGTGCCGGTCCCGTAAGAGAAGCAGAGACCCAAAGCTTAGTTCCCGTTTGTGACACAAAGAGGCAGTTGCATCGGGTCCCCGTGGAGGCATTGGATCGGGGGGAGGCGGAGACGCAAGTCTTGAATCGACGCGGGGGGGGGAGCAGCAAGCTCCCTGCCCTTGAATCGACGCAGCGGTCGCCGCGATCACATGAGGCACGAGGCGTGCGGTTTTCTCTTGGCAGCATGGTGGTGCCTGCTGGTGCTGCTGAGGAAGGGGGGAGGGAGGGATGCATGGATGGGCGGCAGGATGGGCGGCAGGATGGGCGGCTGGATGGTCCGCTGGATGGGCGGCTGCACATAGCACCTGTGAACCGGGCAGCTTCGTTGCCGCCACAGCGGCGGGGAATGAGAGGAAGCTTCTCGGAAGGAGACATTCCCTTGATGACCGAGTCAGGGCAGGGCGAGTGTGATATTCAAGTGATGGGAGAGAGGAAGGGGCAGAGCAAGGGAGAGAGCAAAGGAGAGAGGATGGAGGAGGGTAATGGGGAGAGGAATGGGGAGCGGAATGGGGAGAGGAACGAGAAGGGATGCTCGCCCGGGAGGAGTTGCGATAGTGGCGTCTCTTCGCCCGGTTTTGAGACGTCTCAAATCACTCCGCCAAGGACTCATGCAGTCGCAAGCCGTGCTTCCACTCCCACTGCCGCTCCGGTGTGGCCAACCACCAGTGCACTACAACCACCTGCAGCAGTAGCAGCGGTAGCAGCAGCAGCAGCAGGGACCGCAGCAGGTGGGGAGCCGCAGCAGCAGCAGCAGCAGCAGCAGCAGGCGCTGCGGGTGTTGGTAGCAGAGGACAATGCAGTGAACCAGCTAGTGGTGACACGCATGCTCAGGCGCCTGGGGCTGGACTGCCGGGTGGCTGACAATGGCGTCATGGCCGTGGATGCATGCAGGGAGGAGCGCTTTGACCTCGTGCTCATGGTGAGTGGCTTCTGTGTGTCTGTGTGTCTGTGTGTCTGTGTGTCTGTCTGCGGTGTGTGCGTGTGTGGGAGTGAATGGTGTGTGGTGAGACGCTTGGGGCTGGACTGCCGGGTGGCTGAGAACGGACTGATGGCAGTGGATGCTTGCAAGGAGGAACGATTCGACCTCGTGCTCATGGTGAGTGGTGTGCATGCATGCATGGATGTGTGTGCGTGTGTGTTTGCACGTGGGTGTGCATGTGTGTCTGTCGTGTGTGCACATGTGTGGGAGAGATTATAGAGTGTAATAGCTCAAGAACCTTTCTCTCACATTCCCTCCCACCAATCAGGACTGCCACATGCCAGAAATGGACGGCCTAGAAGCAACGAGGAGGATCCGACGGATGGAAGCAGAGAGAACCCGGGAGCAGCTGGCAGGGAGAAGCACAGATGCAAGCACAGAGGGATGCACAGATGGATGTACAGAGACAGGAGGCACCACGGAAGCCATGCCAGCACAACCAGCCATGGCAAATGCTGCGAGCAAGACTGGAGAGATTGTGGGGGAGACTGTTGGGGAAGCTGGTGGTAATAGGACCGTTGGAGTTGCTAAGACGAGCGCATCGGAACCAGGAAGCAGCCGAAGCGGCGGCGTGATTGACAGCGAGTGCGTTTGATTTCGAGCGAGAGGCGTGCTTCTCGGCCGGGATGAACCACTTCCTCACCAAGCCCATTCGCCCCAAGGACCTTCAGGGCCTTATTAAACTGCTGCAGGTGCCAGCGAAAATCTAAATGCCTGGCTAGTAAGGTATGGTACATACGGTAGGTAGATAGTTCTCGTCTGGTAAACTCTCGCTAGAACACTGACGTGATTCTCAAGAGTAGGCTAGCGAAATTGTATCACTAGTAAGAAACAAGGTACAAATAAGAATGCATATTTGTTATTTAACGGTGATCTCTATATTCCCTTTATTGTAGAAACTAATTGTGCTACATTTGCTTTTGTAAGGAAAACCCTTTTTCCTTACTTCGCGTCCCTGCTCAGCGCGTACATCACTGTTCCCGCCAACAGCACCCCACAATATTCCGTTACCACTCGCGACACTCGCCTCGACCCCATTCCTGCCACTGTTCACGATGCGACCCAACCTCACGGTTCGGTTGGTAACCCGCGCTCCGGACCTCCGCCTCGACAGTCCCCCAACCTTGGCACTAGGCCCGTCGCGCACCCCATTTTCCACACGCTACCGTTACCACTGTAGCTTCGTTATATATTCTTCGCTCAATCCTTCGCTCATTGTATCTTGTCTCGATAGTGCAATCCTCGCTCGCTCACTCAATTGCACTCATAACACTTGGTTATCAGAGCCTACGATCTTCTCTCGGACCGCACCCACACCTTCGCTTCCCCACTATCTCAATTTTGGGGGGGGTAGACGTCTCTCAGCGACCAAGCACCGCTGCTCGTAGTGCTCTCTCGTAAGCACGCACGACCACGACAGAGGCTCTCGCTGAGCTTGCCCGACACCCCCGCCATGGCAGAACTTAATGTCGCGACACTGACACAGGAGCAGCTAGACCGGCTCGTGCGCCAACTTGAAGATTCGGCGCTCGAAATCGCCACACTCACAGCGGAACGCAACTCTGCTCGCCAACAGTCGACAGTGAATGCACCTGCACAATCCAAGGAGCCGATCATCATCTCCTCAGGAACACCAACACAGAACGACAGCGTGGGACAGCGCTCAGGCGCAGCCAGTGAGGGCGCCGCTCACTCAATGCATGGCATGGAGAGAAACAGGACCGCACCAAGCCCACGGGAGCCCCGCGAAGCCCATCGGCACGTGGAATTTGCAGCGACAAGTGGCGAGTATGCCGTCACGGCACCAATGCCACTCAAGCCGCAGCGTCCGCCCTGTTTCGACCCGAGCCAACGAGGAGGCCCGACGGTTCAATCGTGGGTCTTCACGATGAACGTCTTTTTCGACGTGAATTACGTCGAGTCGGACGCAGCGAAGATTCGCTACGCTGTTTCGCTGCTGAGAGGCCCCGCCATGAACTGGTGGCGAGTCATCGTGACATCGCCACGCGCCTACGAGCCACCGTCACAAGAGGAAGGGCCCACGGGCCCAGCCGTCACCTGGAGTTCATTCTGCGAGACAGCCCAGTACAGCACGTGGGATGCGTGGTGCGCAGGGCTTCGGGCGCGTTTCGAGCCGATCACGACTTCGATTTCGGCGCGTCAGAAGCCGCGCACTTGGCGGCAGCTCGCGTCGGTTCAAGAATACACGAGCGGTTTTCTCGCACTATGCGAACAAGTCGGCTATATGCACGAAGCGGAGCGGGTGGACCGTTACGTCGGAGGGCTAAAGCCGGACATATCGCACGAAATTATGCTACGCGGGCTCTCAAATTTCAACGAGATCCTCGCGCTCGCCGAGAAAATCGACATCCTACGATGTACGAGACCGGGGTCCTACTACGGACAACGTCGTCGGTGACCGATCAAGCATGCCACCGTACACGCCGTTGCGACAAATGCAGCTGCCGCACCGTTTAAGGGGCGCTGTTTTGCTTGCAATAGGCCGGGCCATCGCAAGAGTGAATGCCCAGAGGAGCTGAGGCGCCGCGGAACAGAGCAGGGGCGAGATTCTCAGAGGCCGGGAAACGCCAGCAGTAAGTAGAAGTTGGCCCAACTACTGACGAGACTGCCTACTCGCCCAACTTCACCGACCCTCACCAAGTCACAGTACCGATTCACGCTATCGATCGGGCTCGGACGAATAAGGAGGGTACAGCGACGGATTGCCCAGTACGGATTCACGGGAAAATACAGGGAGCAGCAGTGAAGATTTTTATAGACGGAGGTGCAAGTCACAGCTTAGTTAATACCGCGACTGCAAGGAAGCTGCAACTGACACTTAGTCAGTGCTTACCGGAGATAGATGCACACTTAGTCGACGGAACGCCGCTGGCCATATGGGAAAAAGTGGAGAGAGTAAAAGTCCGCTGTGGGGGGAACTTCGGGTTTACACAGGAAATGCTCGCGACGACATTGGATGGGCACGACATTTTACTAGGACGTGATTGGCTGCGACGATACAACCCGCGAATCGACTGGACGTCGGGTAGCTGCACCGTGCGAAGTAGCGGTAACTGGGTTGAACTACCTCACTGGCAGTCGCCCGAGTCATCAACGGTTCACGTCAACGCCATCACGATGAAGCGGGCTGTCGCCGATGGAGCTGACGTGTACGCGGTAGATATCGCGATGGTGGAAGAAGCAGAGCAGCCGAGCGATTTCCAGAAATTACTGGCGGCAGTACCACCCGAGCTCCAAGAACTATTGAAACAATTCCCAGGGATCTTTCCCGATGACTTACCGGAGGGACTGCCACCTCAGCGGGCGCATGACCATCGAATAGAATTAGAACCCGGGGCACAACCAACCGTACAGCGACATTTCAGACTGACACAGCCCGAGCTCAACGAGCTAAGGAAGCAGTTAGATTACCTGTTAGAGAAAAAAAATCATCCGACCGAGCTCTTCGCCATTCGCCACACCGATCCTATTCACACCGAAAAAGGACGGAAGGTTTCGCATGTGCATCGACTACAGGGCACTGAACAGAGTTACAGTTAAATCGCGGTACCCCATCCCCCGCGCAGACGAACTGATAGATCAACTGCGAACAACACGGGTCGTTTCGAAAATTGACTTACGGGGAGGTTACCATCAGATTCGGGTCGAACCATCAGACTGCGCCAAAACAGCATTTAGGACTAGGTACGGGTCATTCGAGTACACAGTGATGCCTTTCGGGCTGACCAACGCACCGGCGACTTTTTAGATGACCATGAACGAGGCATTTAGACCACTCTTAGATAAATGTGTGATCATTTACCTCAAACGGCATTCTTGTATACAGCCGTGACAAGCAGTAGCACTTAGCCGATTTAGAAGCAGTATTTACAGTTTTAGATAAACACAGACTACTGACCAAGGGTTCCAAGTGCGAGTTCTTCCAGGATAGGCTAGAATTTTTGGGGCACGTTATTTCAGAGGCTGGAGTAGAAATCGACCCGAAGAAACTGGACACAGTAAAAGCATGGCACCCCCCGACGAACATCACGGAGCTGCAGAGTTTTTTGGGGTTCGTAAATTACGTGCGTCGGTTCATCCCCGACATGGCACACTTAACTGCCCCGTTGACAGACTTACTGCGGAAGGGGGTCGCTTTTACGTGGGGGGAGAAAGAGCATGCTGCCTTCTCTACCCTGAAAAATGTTCTCTGTTCACCGCCCGTACTGCGCATCGCCGACCCACACCGCCCATTCGAGGTGGTTACCGACGCAAGCGACATTGCCATTGGAGCCGTACTGCTACAGGACTTCGGCAACGGTCTACAACCCATCGCATACGAATCACGAAAGTTGCATCCGCCCGAGAAGAATTACCCGATATACGATCGCGAAATGCTTGCGATCGTGCATGCATTCAAAGTGTGGCGTTGTTACTTGACCGGCGCCGACGTGACAGTACGGACAGACCACAAATCTCTAAAGTACCTCCGCGCACAACCCCACCTCAACCCACGACAAATCCGCTGGCTCGACTACCTCGAGTCGAATTTTCACTACACGGTCACCTACAAAAATAGGGGCATCGAGCATCGCCGACGCATTAACACGGCCCACAGCCCAACTCCACGCCATACTACTCGCCCAGACCAGCCCCCTGCTGACAGGCCTATTTACCCACGGTTACCAGACTGACCCATTTTTTACAGGCGGAAATTCGCAGCAATTTGCAACGGCAAGAGGGGTCTATTACGTAAAAGCGGGCACCGATCGCATCTGGGTACCGGGCTACACGCTCCTACGGGAATTACTGTTGCAAGAGGCACACGACGGAGTCACCTCATGACATTTCGGAGTAGAAAAAACACGGCAGCAGCTGCAGCCGTATTATTATTGGCCCGAAATGCTGACCGACGTGCAGTGACACGTGGCATCGTGTCCCACCTGCCAAGTCATGAAGTAATCACGGAAGCGACCGGCAAGACAGTTGCAGCCGATACCACCCCAGAGCGTGCTTGGCAGCAGGTGACGATGGACTTCGTCACGGGGTTACCGGCGGG